AACACCAAGTGTTTTTAATGACTTAAACATGTTTGAAAAACATTTTTATGATTTAAGAAGTGCAATGAAGGTTTTTAGCCTAAAGAGCCAAGGTGTAAAGATTGGGTCGGTCTTGATCACAATGAAGACCGACTCACGACACTAAGACTAAGGTCTTCGTTCTTGGTCTTCTTTTAGCTCTTGTTCTTGTCTTCCTTCTTCGCCTTGTATATTCAAAGTTTGACTTGATCACGGCAGTTTGGCATTATCAAAACCTGTCATAAAAACAAACACGGCTTTAGTACGAAAACGTGACATGCCCGTGTTTCAACACTACAATGGGTGGGAGATTGCTCAAAGCTTGGGAGTGGAGCTGGTTGCACCTAGGACAGTTTTGTCTGCTCCCTTTGGAATATTTAGTATTTTGGGATTCTAATTTCATGATCAAATACACCTGCTTGGAGAATTATTCCAATGGATCGAGGAGACAGACCTACACCATCAAGCCCGGCATGTAGCTGTTTCACTTTTTATATGTTTGTTGTTTTCCCTTTGTATTCCAAATAGGTGGACTTTTGTCTAGAATCCCTGGACAGAAACTAGGCATCCCAATTAGACTTGGTAAGGTTTGGCTATCCTGTATGGGGTACGGGCAACCCCCACTCTCTTTTGTACTCTCTTTTTAATTTAATAAACATTTCTCTCAAAATATATATATATATATATATATATATATATATATATATATATATATATATATATATATATATATATATATATATACTCCCCCCGTTTGTGGTTCCCCCTTGTAGAGATGGTCACAGGGTTGATTGGCGAACCACACCACCCGGGTTAGATCCTCAGAAGGGGCAACTTTGGGGAAATTTTAACAGAGTTAAGCGTGCTGGACATGGAGTAGCAGAAATGATGAGTGACCCTGGGAAGTGTTTGCAGATTTATGGGGTTGGGCTTTAGATTGTGATATTTATAGTGGGCTATCTGCCTCGGGTGTTTAACAGGCCCCGGGGTGGTCACAAGGTCAACATTCCTTGGCCCCTTGCTTGTAATCGACCGTTTCAATAATATTAATAAAAAAAATTAAAAAAAAAAATTATACTCCCCCTGTCCAAAAAAAGGTTACGTTTCATTTTTTGTTTATCTCATAAAACACTTCTTTATCGTCTCAAACTTAAAAAAAAACTTTCAAAATGACTTCTACCAGCAATATAATAATGGGTAAATGTACTCCATTACGTCAAACTTCATTCAATTTCTTTACTTATTTTCATTAGGTATTTGATAAAATAATATTGTCATGTCGCCACTTGTTTTTTTAGAACTTTTGATGTAGTTTTTAAATATATAAATTTTATTTTTTAATTTTACACCTATAGTCAAATAAATTGGTTTGAAAATAGAGTCGGTCAAACCTCGTTAAAAGGACCGGGAAGAACATTATAGGACGGAGGAAGTAATTTTAGGCATTTAGATGTATGGACATGTGGGTATAGTACTTTTTGAGATGCACAAAAAAAATGAAATCTAACCTTTTTTAGACGGAGAGAGTTTATAGGTAAAGTATTTTATGAAGTGCGTAAAAATGAAACAAGTACATCTTTTTTGAACGGGGTACTAAGCTTATAAGACCAAGTGTACTAGGCAGGAAAGAGGCTAAAGTCGCCACACATAGCACCATTTAAGCCTTCCCACTGCCCGCATGGATAGATCAACTGATCGAATAAGAGGATGTCAAGCTTATAGATCCTAGGATAAAATCTTAGCAGTTTACCGCATAAGTTACGAGAAGGAGACTGAAATTTATAAACTTTAAAGCACAAAAGTGAAGTATTTTTTCAAGTTCGAGAGTCTCTAGGAAATTGCTGAAGGGAACGAAAGTTCACCTCCTACAAGTGCAGATGAATTAAAGAAGTGGAAGGCTAAAGCAAAAACAATATCCAATATGTTAATGTTCACTTTGGAGCCCAATCTTTTCTTTGAGTATGTTTTGGATCGATGCAGAAACGATAAAAGATGCATGGAAGATCTTAGAGAAAAAAATTTCCAAGAAAGAGGATGATAATCATATTGACAAAGAAGATCAAACTAAGAGCAAAAATGTTGCTAGCTATGGAAATAAGATCACATATGACTATTTTTAGGCTTACAGATTGAGAGAATTTAATATGTCAAAGTGCTTAGATGAACAGTTCGAAAAGTCAAAAGTGTACAAAAACAATAGTGTATGAATTGAACGATTAAGTGATTCAATTCCAGTTCTCCTTTTTCTTCTTCGATTTCCAGTTGCACAATCGATTTCCTCATGTGCGATCATGTCGTCATCTTCTTCGATCGATCCCTCCGATCCATATTTTCTCCATCCTTCCGATCATCCTGGTTTGATTTTGATTTCAACCAAATTCATAGGTGAAGGATTTGGATCCTAGCAGAAGTCCATGACGATTGCTTTGTCGGCAAAGAACAAACAAGGGTTTGTTCAAGGTAAAATTAAGAAACCTGATGATTCCTCAAATCGAGTCAATCACTGGCAGCGATGCAACGACATGATAACCTCTTGGATCCTCAACACACTTAGCAAAGAGATAGGAGACAGCGTCTTATATGCTGAAAACATTGCTGAACTATGGAACGAGCTTGAGGATAGATTTGGGCAATCAAATGGGGCAAGATTGTTTCAACTTCAGAAGGAAATCTGTTCTATCACCCAGGGAAACTCAGATGTTGCCACATACTACACAAGATTGAAGAAAATATGGGATGAGTTAGCCCTGGTATCCAATCTACCAAAGTGTTCATGCGGAGCTGTTCAAGAACTCACCAAATATGAACAAAATCAGAAGTTAATTCAATTTTTGATGAGTCTTAATTCTGACTACAATGTTACCAGAGGTAACATATTGCTTATGAGACCTCTTCCTTCAGTACCTATTGCCTATGGACTTCTCATACAGGAGGAAAAACAGAGGGAGATACAGGTACCTTCACATTTCATGACTGAACATACATCCTTGAATGCTGCAAATGTTCATCCTTTATCTAAGGAAAGATTTGAAGAAAAGAAGACCATTATTTGTGATTACTGTAAGAAGAAGGGCCACTCTGCTGCAAAGTGTTACAAGCTAGTTGGTTTTCCAAAGGATTTCAAGTTTGCAAAGCCAAGAAAGATAGCTGCAAATGCTGTGAATGAGGAAGGATCAGAGGTCACTTGAGTCAAGGCAGACAGTCAACTCAATCCAGAATTCTGCAACCAACTTATGAAGCTCCTCAGTTCCTTTCATGATGATAAATTCTAGCAACCATCTCAAGCTTGTACAGCACACATGGCTGGTATGGTCCTTAACCATAATAATTTCTTGGTGAAACATATATGTAATAGTGTGCATTTGATTGATGATTATGCCTAGATTTTAGACACTGGTGCCACTGGTCATATGTGTCCCAACCCAAACCTCATCATCAATCTCGCCAATTTAACTTCACCTCATCAAATCATTCTGCCTAATAACCATCACATCACTGTTTTCCAATCTAGAACAACTCATTTGCCTTGTGGCATATCACTTGAGGATGTTCTTTTTGTCCCTACTTTTAAATTCAATCTACTGTCTGTGAGTAAACTATGTAAACAGCTTGGTGTTACAACCTGCTTCACAGAAGATAAATGTCTTCTGCAGGACCTTTCCAGGAACAAGTCAGTGGAAATTGGTCAGAGGCAGGGTGATCTATACATAACACAAGTCAGCCATCATCTTTCAGAAAAGTCCATTGCCAGTCCTCATTCCCTCTCTAATCCTCATGATACTTTCTGTAATAAAGTTTGTATGAACTCTGATGTAAAATTGTGGCATATGAGACTGGGTCATTTGCCTAGTTACAAACTGAAATCGCTGTGTTCTTTTGATAATGAAAGCTTTAATCCTTTGTCCTGTTGTGATATATGTCCAAAGGCCAGGCAACACAGATTGCCCTTCCCTATTAGTCAAAGTCACTCAACACATCTTTTTGAGCTTATTCATTTAGACCTTTGGGGCCCTTATCACACCAAAACATACAATGGGTTCTCTTATTTTCTTACCATGGTAGATGATTATTCTAGGGCAACATGGACCTATCTTTTGGCAGCTAAGAGCAATGCTCCTGATTTTATCAAAAACTTCATTCTTATGGTTCATACTCAGTTTGGTGCAAACATTAAGATTATCAGATCTGATAATGCTTTGGAGTTAGGAGAGAGTCAAGTTACTTCTCAAATTTTTCTTTCCAAAGGCATTATCCACTAAACTAGTGTGAGGAACACTCCACAACAAAATGGGGTTGTTGAAAGAAAACACAAACACCTTCTTGAAACTTCTAGGGCCTTGTCCATTCAATCCAATATTCCTCAAAAGTTTTAGGGTGAGTGTGTCCTGACTGCCACATATCTCATTAATAGGTTTCCCACAAAACCCTCCACAATAAATCTCCATATGAAGTTCTTTTTGGGAAACAACCAGCATATACACATTTGAAAGTTTTTGGTTGTTTATGTTATGTTTCTACACAAACACAGGGCAGATCCAAATTTTAGGAAAGAGCTTCAAAGGCTGTTTTCCTGGGTTATCCTTATGGCAAGAAAGCTTACAAAGTCTATAATCTTTCCACTCACAAAGTTGAGGAATCTAGGGATATTGTTTTCCATGAATTATATTTTCCTTTTCAAGAAAATCCACCTCAAGATCCTTTATATCCTTCCAACTACAATCCTTCACACCCTTTACCTGAATTCTCTTCTTCTGAAATACCTACCAATGATCCACCTGTGTTATCTTGCCCTTCTCCTTCCACCTTTGTTCCTGCCTCTTTACCTACAGATTCCCATCTTTCTGATTTGCCTTCATTATCTGTTTCTGTTCCTAAGAGATCCCTCAGAACACACAAAGCACCTTCTCATCTCAAAGATTATGTCTGCCACTCTTTCGTTGAGCCTACAGATCCTTCCATCTCTTCTTCTTCAACCTCCATTGTTTGTCCTCATACTCTCACTTCCATAACACCTTCTACACACATATGTTTGGGTGCACTAACTCATGCTAGTTAGACTCTTTTGCACTCTATTTCATATATGCATGAATCTAGAAGTTATGAAGAGGCTAAGGATGATCGAGCTTGGCAGCAAGCCATGGACGCTGAATTTTAGGCCTTAGCAAACACTGGAACCTGGGAGCCTTGCATTCTGCCTAAAGGTAAGAAGCCCATTAGCTGTAAATGCGTTTACAAATTGAAGTTCAAATATGATGGTACTTTGGAATGGCACAAAGCTAGACTAGTCATTCGTGGTTGTACACAAAAACAAGGAATATATTATCATGAAACTTTTTCCCCTATTGTCAAGATGACCACAGTCAGATCTTTCTTGGCCATCGCTGTCAAACATCATTGGCCCATTTTTCAACTAGATGTTAACAATGCCTTCCTACATGGTGACTTAGCAGAAGAAATTTACATGAAACCACCTCCAGGCATGCAGTTGTCTCAGCCTTTCCAAGTCCTTATATTAAAGAAGTCTCTTTATGGTCTTAAACAGGCCTCTAGGCAATGGTATGCCAAATTGAGCAGTGTGCTTAGATCTAAAGGGTTTGTCTCTTCCAAAAATGACTATTCCCTCTTCATTAAACGTGATGTAGCCTCTGTTGTTCACCTTGTGGTCTATGTTGATGACATTCTCATCACAGGAAACAACACTCATGAGATAGATGATTTAAAGTCATATCTCCATTCTGTTTTCCAGATTAAAGATCTTGGCAGATTGGGTTATTTTCTTGGTCTGGAGGCAATGTATGAGCCTAATGGCCTGATTCTCACACAGTGCAAGTTCACCTTGGAACTCCTATCCTCTTTCCACTGTCCTCCTACTGCTACTGCTTCCTCTCCCTTACCCACTGGTCTTCAACTACATCTCAACACAGGTGCTCCCTTTTCAGATCCCACTCTATACAGAACTCTTGTGGGCAAACTCAATTTTCTTACTCATACTCGCCCAGACATTGCCTATGTTGTCTAGTTCCTTAGCCAATTTCTACAAGATCCTAGGGTTCCACATTGGGAAGCTGCCCATCACACTAAGGTATCTCAACTCTGCACCATTCCAAGGGATTCACTTCAACAATGCTCCCACTTTCAACCTTAAAGCCTACTGTGATTCTGACTGGGCAGCCTGCCCCAACACCAGGAGGTGTGTCAGTGGACATTTCATTCTCCTAGGAGGCGGCCCAATCTCTTGGAAGTCCAAGAAACAAGCTACTGTTTCTTTAAGCTCAGCTGAAGCTGAATACAGGTCTATGCGTCGCGTCACTGCTGAGCTGGCTTGGTTAACTCGCTTGTTTCATGATTTTCATGTTCCCAATATCACACATATACCTCTCAAGTGTGATATCAAGGCTGGCATTTACATTGCTTCCAATCCCGTCTACCATGAACGAACTAAACACATTGAGTTGGACTGCCATTTCGTTCGTGAAAAGCTTCAAGATGGTTTGATTACTCTTCTGCATGTTCCTACTCAGTCTCAACTTGCAGATCTGTTCACCAAGAGCTTGCCTAGCACACTTCATCACAAGCTTCTTCCCAAGTTGGGAGTTCAATCACCCTCCAACTTGAGGGGGGGTGTTGGTGTATAGTAGTTAGGGAAGTTGCACTTATTTCGCTGTTTTGGTTAATTAGTTAGGCGGGCTGGTATGATAGATCAGAGTTTGTTATTTTCTCTTCTTCCCTTTATATTTGTACTCCAGTTGGACTTCTCAATCTTAACACAGAATTTTACGGCAATCTTGTTCTTCTTCATCTGTTCTTTCCTTCTGTGATTTTTCCACCATAGCTAGAAATCCAACACTTTTCCCTTTTCAAGTGGCAGCCATGTTGATTGCCATTTTTTTTCTTTATTCCTTTGTTCTTGCTTTTGATTATTAATCAATTCCCAACATCCTCAAATGAAGAGGATTTGGAAGAAAAAGTTGGTGAGCATGTCTAAGAGAAGAGTGAAGGCATGCATGAAAGAGAAGAAATTTTTATAATATATTTCTTATCTAAGAATAAGTCTTCAAATTGGTTTTTACTTCCTCCCATGGATAAGTTTGAAGCTTGAGTTTCAAACTTGAATTCTTCTTCATGACAACTTGCAAACTTATCACAAAAGCTTGGTTTAATATTCTAAAATGCCTCCCTTAAACCAAGCTTGTAGTGTAGATGATTCCAAACATCTTCTTCAATTTGTAAAATGTCTCCATCTTCAATGACTTTGTAAAAATATTTGCCACTTGTTCCTCAGTTGAATAATAATCAATCACCATCTCTTTTTCATTCATCAATTCACGAATCTTGTGGAACCGGATATTAATGTGCTTAGCTCTTCCATGAAACATGTGATTTTTGCAAAGAACAATGACTTCTAAAATATATTCCATTTTTTATTTACGTAGTGAGTAACTTGTACTATGGAGTTCCCTTTGATTTTTCTAATGCTTGGTGATGGTGTAAATTCCACCGGGTATGGGAAGTAGGTAACTGGGTCAGGTTAGGGAGGCCTAACCGGGTAAATAAAGATAAGCTTAAAAGTAAGGAACACAACACAGAATTAACTAGACCGGGGGAAATCTCCCGATTCCAAATATATTTCTTACTCTAAGAAGAGTGTACAGGATTTTATGGAAGTAGTAGTGAATGCCTTCTCCTCTCTCTGTCACAGATTATTTATAGAGTACAGTAGGTGCATGGAAGCTGCCCACTTAAGGACAAATAACCAGACACTACAAGAAAATGCCAGTTCTGCAACGGAAATCTGCCACGGAGACGTTTTTGTTGCAAATCTGCAACGACTCTGCGACAGATGTATAAATGTGGATAAACTGGCAAATATCTGCGACGGTCATAGTCTTTCCGTCGCAACTTTGCGACAGACATAACCGTACCCTCGCAAATATGACGCGGGAGGAAAAAAAACTTTCGCGGCCAAAATATCTGCTACGGAATTAGAATTCCGTCGTAGATCTGCAACAGAATCTGCTACGGAATGTTTTCCGTAGCAGACATGAACTTAAAAATCTTATCCTCTTCTCCCGATTCACAATCTCCACTCAACCAAAAAATCTTATCCTCTTCTCCCGCAGACGTCAACCCAATCGCCCCAAATCGCCGGTGAATTTCTCTCTTTTCGCCGTCAACCGCTGCACCGCCTCCCAAATCGCCGGCGAACTTCAACCCCTTCCCACCTCAAATCTAGCTTCGTTCGTCGCACACGCCAACCGTCCCCACTGCCGTCCCCAGTTCTCGTTTGCCGGTCATCCACCACACGCCCTTCGACAAGAAGGTATGTATTTATTCACACGAGATTCCGTCACTAATTTGCTTTGGTATTTCTGGATTTTGTGTTGCTACTTATTCGGATTTGAATGATTTCTACTTGGTTTGCACTTGAACAAATTCCTTAAAATAATCTTGATTAGTCTTTCCCAAGTTACAAATTGAAACTATTGAAACCAAAATTTCAGAATTCAACCATGTAAAGAGGCATCCAATGGGGCTGCTACCTCAAGAGTTACCTGCAAATATGAAAATCTGGATTTTTCACATGATTGTATGTAAAGGTTGATTTGAAGATAGAAGGGAATTTTCTTTTTTACTATATAAAGAATAAGATCAAAATATAGATGAAAAGAAATTATCAATTGTAATCAAAATTGACTTTAACACGATGACAATTTCAAAAAGCTTCGTTGGAAACAATATACATTGCACTTGAGCATAGACTGTGAATTTTAGTATACTCAGTTTAGTATGTTGCCAATTCATTTATAATATGTGAAAATATAGATACATTAACAAGGGAGGACCGAACTACAGTCTCTGCCGAGGAAAAGCGACACGCAAAAGGTTTGAAAACGATGACGA